TGTTACATGTAACTCATGTTACATGTAACATGTTACATGTAACTCATGTTACATGTAACTCATGTTACATGTAACTCATGTAACTTACATGAGTTACATGTAACTTACATGTTACATGTAACTAACATGTAACATGTTACTCATGTTACATGAGTAACATGTAAGTTACATGTTACTCATGTAACATGAGTAACATGTAACTCATGTAACTAATGCCAAGGTTACATGTCTAAAACACCAACAACAGTAGTGCAATGAAATCAAGTAATAAAGATAAGTTAAATCTGTTCTTAATGTTGTAGAAAATGTTCTACTTTTGACAACTTGAGTACAAATAAAACAATACTGAAAGAAATCTTAATTAAGAAACTTAATGAATTCTTAAGTAATGTAACTAATTATTGGTCTCAACATAAGCATTGTAGTATAATGCAAGTGGTCAATTTCAAGTTTGTCAAAAAAGACTACTGTTAGTATATTAGAAACAACCTTAGAATTTTTTTTGACTGTCGTTAAAATTTCTAGTCAGACATTGTTTGCTGATGTATAACCCCCTCCAGTTATTGTCATGGAAACAGGGAGGGGACACGGCCCCCTCCCCGACCCACCGCAGTGGGTAGTTCCAGGCTCCGTCAACCACAGATGGAATTGAACTCAGACTCTGCACCACTGGCGCCTTACGGTCGCAGACAATCCCACTCTGCTATGACACCTGTCACACTTTGGACTTTTCTCCGGGCGCATTTATCTTTTTGTTTCTACTTCTATGGTTGTTGGAAAAAGACAGGAGTGGGATTTGAACCCATGATCTTCTAGTTTTAGAGTCAATGCTTTAACATCAATGCCACATTTTCAGACATTTGGTCTTTTCTCCGGGCGCATTTATCTTTTTGTTTTTCCTACAGTTGTTGGGAAAATAGTGGGATTTGAACCCATGATCTTCTAGTTTTAGAGCCAATGCTTTAACATCCAGGCCACACTTGTGGACGTTTCAACTTTTCTCCGGGCGCATTTATCTTTTTGTTTCTTCTTTTTGTTGGAAAAAGACAGCAGTGGGATTTGAACCCATGATCTTCTAGTTTTAAAGTCAAGGCTTTAACATCAATGCCACACTTGTGGACATTTGGACTTTTCTCCGGGCGCATTTATCGTTTTGTTTCTTCTTCTACAGTTGTTAGAAAAGGAGAATATTGAATTTTGAACCCATGACTTCTAGTTTTAGAGTGAACGTTTTAACATCAATGCCACATTTTTGGACAGTTGGACTTCTCTACAGGCGTATTTATCTTTTTGTTTCTTCTACAGTTAGAAAATGACAGTAGTGGGATTTGAACCCATGGGCTTCTGAATTGAGGGCCATGGGCTTACCAACCACACCACGGGCCCTGTCTCTCTACGCTCCTCTTCTCGTATTTATCTTTTTGTTTTCAATTTTCACTCCGAAAACCAATCTGGATTTTATATATATATAGATGTTATAATGTTGAATTTCATGAACCGGAAAATTTAAATAACCCTTTTTTTCACTTTTACCCGATGTATTCACTATAGCTCTGGAGAATTTCTATTGCGAAGTCCTATGGAAGTCTTCATAATGGTTGTCAATTGCAGATGTATCTAATATGGCCGTTTCTCAGTTGACAAGAACAGGAGTACAGTCTAGAAAGTCTAGATTCGGGGAGAACAGGAGGAAATCTGGGTCAAATGGAACAGAAGCGTACTGATGACATCACTGGAGCTGCATTTCACATAGATAATAATAAATTCGTACTTTATTTACTTTACTGGGGGAATAATATTGAACACACTCAGATAAACACAGATCAAATGAACATTTTGCCAGCAAAATCAGCATCAGCGGTCCTTCTGCAGACGTTAGCCCTGGCTGCGATTAGCTTTAGAGCTCCACTGGTGACGTTCCTGTTTGGACAGAACCAGGTGAGAGGTCAACGTCTGTTCAACAGGTCTGATTGCAGAACTTTAGCGTTCGGCGATGAAGATGAGGATGAAGAACTCAGTCAGCGTAGTTGAACTGATTATTTTCTTTTTTTTCCTTTTTGGCTCAGCTTTAGGTTTCCTTTTAAAGTGAACACGATCTGTTTGTTCTGCACGTAGGTGTTTCCCGTCTAGCTCATTTCCAGCTGGTGTCTCTGACCTCATCTTTCATCAGTTCATTGCTCACACCTTGCCTCCAAATTGTCCAGAATGCAGCTGCGGTTGTGGTACAGCAGAGGTAGCACCTCTGCACCGGCTTCCTGTTGCTTCTGTTTTTAAATCTTCTTGCTGATCAGAGCTCCTGTTTATTTAGCTGCAGGAAGCTGATGTCATCCTCTCTGCAGAGCCTCAGCTGTTTTAGTGCCTGTTTATGCTTTTGCTGGAGATAAACTATGAAACGTCTAGTTTATCTCGACAAAATGGGAGGAAAAAAAAGACTTCCCACTCTCTAGGATGAGGTCAAATCTGAGACATTAAAGGGAAAAAGTAAAGTTAAAGTTGAGCTAAAGTTCTTCCTTAAGAAAAGGATGTTTTCTTCCCTTCAAAACCAAGTCACCAGACTTAGATTTGGACGACCCGGCTGGCGCTGCAGAAGTTCCTGTCGTATCTGGAAGGCAGGGTGGGGAAACCACAAGCTGGAACAAGATTTTTTCTCATTTCATAACAAAGTGGTCATATATTTGGGTGTGGCTGAAACTTGTCTTCTGTATCTTGCTAATAGAACAGAGCCTGACCCATTAAAAAAATTAGAGTTCTTTTCTTTTATTTAGTTGAAAATGCAGCTTAACTAAACTTTTTTTCTCTTTAATGTCATTTTTTGAAGGATCAGTTGAACAAAGAAAGGTTGTGGTAGCTGTTCTGGTTTATCTTCTTGCACTTTCCTTGTTATCTCTATGAAAAAACCCAAACCAAACGGACTGAAGCTAGTTCCTCTTTCAGATGATCTGTTTAGGAAACACCTGCTAACACACCCAAAGGTCCCGGGATGGAGACCCTGAAGGAGATCTAAGGTTTTCCATGAAGAGGGAATCCGGTTAGAACCACCAAAGGGATCCAGAACCCAAGTGGAGCCTGGAAGTTCTCTCTAAAGAGGCGACCAGAGGAGGATCAGGCTATTCTTCTCCTGGAGGTGTAAAGTGAGAGCGCTCAGTGGACCATAGCAGACTGCTGCACACATTCATCACATGGGTGAGTTTGGTATGTAAAGCAGCAGGGGTTCCTGTGTGACTGCGGTGGGGTTTCTTTTAGATCAGGAGGACGAAGCTGCGGAGAACATCGACAGACATGGGCACGGTAAGAAAGCTTCACCTGATGAAGGAGCTGCTGCTCAGGACTCTGTTTGGGTCCAATTTTCACTTTATTTCTCTTTCCTGCTCAGAAAAGTCCATCATTGTTAATCATGGAGGCTGTTATTAGGATGAAACATTTCTGCTTTCTTGAAACAAGTTTTCTAAAACTGAGTTAATTTAGGTCATAATTAGCTGGAAATGTTGACTCATTTACCAGCAGTAATTCAGGTCCTCGTCGCCATATTGTTTGATTTTAGACAATGTTGCGGATTTAAGAGCTGTTTTCTAAAACTCTGCACCTCTGGCCTGAAGGTTTCCTGTCCAAACCTGGCCTGAAGTTAACCCTCTGACCACAATTTTCATTCCCTTCGTGCAATGACAGTACAACTAGTAGACTTTGGCTTGGAAGGACTTTTTTAACCGATCCATCTTGATTCATAGTGTGAACAGAACAGGATGATATTCAGTTCACTGCTTACTGAACACTTCCTTAGCCTCTATGTTTTAATGGTACTACTTCATGTTCGTAGAAGGCTGCTTAGATTGTTTACTCTGATTTAGCCGGATGCGTCTCTTTTCCATTAATCACACAATAAAAACAAAATCTAACAAATTTTAAGGCAAATTATTTCATAAATATGCTTCTAGTTCGGTGCACACATCCATGAGACGAAGAACGCAAGCAATCGTTTTATGATTCAGACATAATAGACCTTATATGATAAACTGTTGAACTTCATTAAAGGATATTCTATTCTCTCTCTCTATTTATCTTAAACTTTAAAATCTTTCCTTTGGGACTCCACCTGTTAGGTCCTGCTTGAAATGGGTCATATTTGTGAACCATTTCCCCCAATAAATTACTGACCCTGATCGCTAACATTAGCATAGCGCTAAGATCTTAACGTGTGATGGCCGCTCCGGAACATGGACTTTTGTAGCTAATATAACCATTAACTGATGTCAACCCTTAAAGTCCTTCTTGGTGTCTTTACCATTTGATTCATTAGTTCTTCTTAATGTTTTTAGAGAGACAGAAAGGCAGAAAAACAACCCCACAGCATGATGCAGCCTCCTCCATACCCATTGAGTGCGTTACGGTTTAAGCAAAGTTTCACCATTATGTCCAAACAATTTGGTTTTAGTTTCATCAGACCACAAGACATGTCTGCAGATGTGACGCACTTTACCCCCGAGTGCATTTAAAAACAGTAATCCGTTTGTTTGAATCATATCTTGTTTTACTCAATGAATAATGACTTCTTCTTCACTGAGCGGCATTTCAGCCCACAGCAGTAGACTCACTTATTCACTTTGCATAATCAAACTTCTTGTGCTGTTGGTCAGAAGCTGATCAAAGCTTTACATCATCTAGGGTATCCTGAGTTGTTTAAATGGAACAAGGAAAACTTATCTTTTAGCAGCTTTATTTCAGTCGCTGTCGATCGTTTCTTCTGACTTAACTGAAATCCAGAAAAATCTGCCCCAAATTACCTGTAAAAATGTAAAGAAATCGGAAAAAATATGCTCTGACTGGTTCAGAAGAACCCGTCTTAGCAGGCTCCGCCCACAACCCTATTGACCAACAGGGTCTGTTTCATCATTGGTAAATAAGACCCCATTAGGAAGAGAAAACATCTTTAATGATTGTAGAAAATGTAATAAAATGTGTTTCAGCTGAATTTACTGCAGTTTTTTGTTTTTTTTTCCATTGCAGACCAATTCCCGTCCGAAGCTTTACCCAGGAGACATCGTGGAATATCCCAGGAACAAATACTTTTCCCACTTTGGGATATACTTTGGGGAGAGGGACGGTGTTCCCTATGTGGCTCACCTGACAAGCAGAGGTCAGTCATCGTCTTCAACGTCCAGAAATATCTTGGATTTTCTCTCTTCTTTTTTAAGAAAACAGCTGAAATGTCTAAATGAGAAATGTTAGTCTTTAGATAAATCATTGATGATGTTCTTAGAAGAAAGGAAATGTTCTGACGATACAGATTTTCTATTTTTGTAATAACTGAAAATATTCTTCTTGGCAACAAAAAATAACTTATATTTTCTTTCTGAGCTCAAATTGTTAGAAATAAAAGCAATGTAGTGGGGAAAATATTTCATTATTCACCCCAGTTAAATAAACAGAGATCTTATTGCTTGGTAATCAGCCCTGTTCTGAATTAGACAGAGTTTATCTCCCTTATTTATAATGAGGAAAAAACTGTAAAGGTTTTGTCAGAGTCAAAACAAATTAAACACACTTTGGTTAAACAATAACAATTAAGAATTTGGCTTATGGAATACAAATTCGTATGCAAAACACTTCTCCCTCAGACATTATGATGCCTTGCAGGTGAAACAGACCGAGTTAAAACATTTTTCACTGGATAAATAGCTTAACTAAATATATGAAACAAGAGAAATCTACATTTTCCCACCACAGCAACAACAAAGGTTTGTTAAAATGGTGAAAACAGTCTAGCGTTGAGCTGCTCCAGTGTTTCCTGCAGGAAGTACTTTGTTGAACTGACCTTTTTTTCATATAAAATAAATTTAAAACCACGTAATGGGATGTCGTTTTGGACGTTTTTTATGTTGATAGACCAAAT